GGTACGTTACATCCACAACTCTGCCCGTTCGCCTAACGTAGCCCTTCCAAACAACTGCCAGCCAAGGGGCCTAGGTGGAAAATCCAGAAAAGGCAAACATGGTTGCCTAGGAGAATGAGTGAGTTTTCACAGATCCCTAATTAATGAAGGAAATTGGGAAAGTAACCGTACCCCCACCAGCACCATTATGGACAGGGAAAGCCCACGCAGAGCATCCTGCTTAAATGGACTGCCATACCTGTTGGTTAATCAAGCAGATAAACGACGGCTGTTAAAGCACTCTTACATGCACAGCAATGGACTAGTATTTCTGGCTGAAACACCCTCATGCTAGGAGATTTAGGACAAAGTGATTTACCATGAGCTGCCCCAACAGCCAGCTTTTCCTATTAACTCCCCTCCAAACTGTGCAATGGTACAGATGGGAAACAATCGTATGATTAGTGGTCTCCATGAAAGACCCTATGAGGAGAGGCTGAGAGATCTGGATTTCTTCAGCCTATACAAAAGACAGCTGAGGGGTGACCTTGTAGCCTCCTATAAATTTACCAGGGGAGGACAGCAGGGAATTGGGGATGCGCTGTTTACCAGAGCGCCCCTGGGAGTAACTAGGAATAATGGGTGCAAACTAGTGGAGAGTAGATTTAGGTTAGACATTAGGAAGAAATGTCTTACAGTAAGGGAGGCCAGATTCTGGGATGGGCTTCTAGGAGAGGTGATGCTGTCACCTAACTCAGAGGTCTTCAAGACGAGGCTTGACAGTCACCTGGCTGGGGTCGTCTGACCTCAGTCCTCTTTCCTGCCAGGGGCAGGGGGTCGGACATGATGATCCACTGGGTCCCTTCTGACTCTATAATCTATGAATCACCAGCCAGACATTGCCCACAGCTCAGTGGGCACCAATGTCTGAGGAGACTGTAGCCTCCTCTCCGCAGTTGCATGCCCTGACTTTATTTGTGAGGGGGAGCGGTTTACACACTCATAGGTGTGAACTTCTTGCAACTGCTGTAATGGGGATTCTTCTTCACTGGCATCGTTCAACTCTGGGCCAGATACAGCCGTGGAGAGAGCATTGTAGGGGTGTTTCTGAGACTCTAAAATGGGTGTGCACCCACGCAGTGAGATTTACTGGGGGAAGGCTGCTACAAACTAATGTGAGAAATAATCATGTAACAGGTGGTGAGAAACAGAACAATTCAGGCAATCCTTCATCGCTCAGGAAGGGGGAACATGAGCAGGGCACCCTGCCCAGCCTTGGGATGCTTTAGAGGGATCCCATTCATCACGGGACACGTTTCAAACCTGATGATGAAAACACGTTGTCAGCTAACTAAAGAGCCTCTCCCCCTGCTCCAGCCGTAGCTTGGCACTTCTCTAATGCTCACTCCTGTCCAACGTTTGGGATGCTAGCAGTGCTGCCAATGATGGGAGGCAGTTTGCTCTCAAGGGCAAAACACTTTGGGTACAAATCATGGAAAGAGCAGTACGTGAACAGCATCTTCTCCTTGAGGTAGTCTTAGTCATCTCGGCCCCCAGCCCCCCAAATACAAAAGAACTAACCCTAACAAACACTGTAACATTAAACATCACATTCTGTAAACTGCAAGAGAATGCATCTGCTGCATTCATACAGAACCATGTGCACTGTGTTGAAGATCATACATTCAACTCTGTCGTGAAATAAATACATAGGAAAAGAGTTTAAAACAAAACAAAAGAAAACAAAAACAAAACAAAAAAATTGATTCTTGCTACAATGGCAGGGCCACCCACTGCCCTGTCTCAGCCTCTCCCTCCTGCCTGTGTTGTGGTTTTTCCCCCTTCTTCTCTGCGTGAGCCAGCTCCCCACCTGAAGCACCAGAGTAAGGCACGGGTTGGGGGAAATGAGGGCTCACTCTTTGCTCACGCTGGTCTTGCAGGAATGTAGAACGGCTTTAAAAAGGAGGGGCAGCTGCTCCAGGGGAACATTCACCATCTTTCCTGTGAAGACAGAATCCGAATTAGCAGCCGTCCTGAGCTGGGCTCCAGAAACGCCCATCTCAGAGCTGACGACTCTGGAGATGGTTTTACCTTGAACCTCTCAGCTGCACGCACAGTAAATCACCCAGTGCCTAGATGAGACATTTGATACAACAGGATTTGTTATGGAGTGGGAGAGAAGCCAAGTAAATGGGCAAAGTCAGATGAAAATGATCTCCCCACAGTGGAGCCCTCCTTATACATTGAGTGGCACTTCTGCCCCATCTCTTCTGTCAATCATCTGGAGTCGACTGGCGGGACGGGCCCACCCAATACTGTCCCGCTTGGCACGAGAGAGGAAGCTGAAACACCCAAATCCTTCTTGACCCATCCCAGAGAGGAGTATGCCTTCCCCATCCTAGAGGGCCTGTGGCCATTAATCCTGATACTCAAGGGCAAACTTCCGAGTCTCCTGAAGACCCTGGAACAATTCTTCCTGATCCAGGCACTGGAGGTGGAAAGTTCACCCATTTATTTCAGAAACCCCAAATTCCAGAGGAGCCCAATTCTGGGGATTTCTGTCAGGACTGACGAAGCTTTTATGTCTCAGGCCCATCTCTAGTCCAGCTCTTCCCAGGGAGACTCCTGCCATCTACAAATCTGGATAATAGCTGCATCCCAGAGTTAGGGAGGGAGAATGGAGAGCCTCTACTCAGGAGATTTTGGCTGAAGAAAACAAGTCACCTGGAAGGAAGAACTTGCCTTCTTGCTCCCTAAATTAGGGACCCTTCCATTGCAATACAGATCGCTGGACCCGTTTGCAAACAAAGCTGGTTTCACTGCACTGGGTCAGTGGCAGAGCTGTGATCTTGAAGGTGGGGAGGGGTCCCATACCAGCACTGCTGTCCAGCCAGGCAGGCCAGTTTCATGGTCAGAACAGCAGAAGTCCCCTTTCAAGGAGGCTTCACAATTCACACAGGGTCCAGCTGAGAGAAAGGCTCAAAAAAGTTACCTGCAATGTAACGTATCTCTGGCAAGCACATCATGAGATCCGGAAACCGGTTTGGCTGATGCGGGTACTTGTACTCTGTAAAATCCTGGCACACGTACCAATACCGTTTGTTCAGCTGCTCCAGCTGGGATGCATTGGTCAGGCCCCTAATGTCTGTGGAAAACAGGACAGGCTGAATGACCAAGGGGAGCCGTAACCCCAGAAGGTGACTCACCGAGTCAGTGACCGTTGAAAGACGAGACAAAGCCAGTTATAAAACTCAGTCTAACAGCCTCCAGCTAAACAAAATTAAAGCTTTGGCGAGAGACTTCAGGTGCACAGTCACCTCCATGTTCACACTCACCCTCCTGCTCCTTTATTTGCTATAAACACGTATCATGCAAAAAGTTATCAGAGGAAACATACGGGTACAAGCTCTTCTTTCATAAGAGACATGGCTGAGAACAGGTAACGCCCTAAGTTGCTCCTCCTCAGAGATCGATGCGCTTTTAAGAGGAAAGCAGCTTTAGCAACCTTAAATCCTTGCTTTCCTTTTATAATCCTTGCTTTTCCTCTTCCTATATGTCAAGGCTTTAAGTCCCGATGTTGGTTCCAACGTCATATTTTCCACAAGCAGTATCACGTTGATTTGAGCTACGTCGCCTCAGCTCTGGGGAGAGCATCCAAGGCTGTATTTCAGGCGTTGGAGTATTCCCCCCACCATATGCTTATGAATTTATACTGTGCGAGCTCTACACGTGTGTCCAGTCTGCATTTTAAAATTTTGCTTTTCTGAATGTCAACCAATAGACAAAACAAAAGCAGACAGGTCCACACTGCCAGCTTGGCCCGAGAAAGCCGCTGTGCACACACTTCAGCACACTCACTGACATGTGCACACTGCTTGTTGGCCTGGGACTAGATCTGACAGATAAAGTGCAGGCAAAATACGCATCCCTGCTGAGGCTCAGCACTGTTTTGCAGCACACTTCTGCCAGGGAAGGAGCATTTATCTGCTGTCCAGAAGCTGACTGAAAAATAATGTTCAGGTATTTCACATAAAAAATTGCAAACTCCAACTAAAAATAAAAGAAGACAGGAAGTTAATGGAAATGCATTTTGGAAAACAATGGAGACAACTCAAGAAGTGCATCATCCCGTGTCAGGAAACTGCCCAGGGAAGCAAACCGGAACCTGCGCCGGGGGCGCACAGTGAAGCGTCAGCACAAAATGCTTGGCACAACTGGGTGGGGGAGAAAGGAGATCTCAGCAAGCCGCACACAGTGCAGCTCTCCTGCATGCGGCTGAAACCCACCAGTGACACCTATTTCTGAACAGCCTCGAAGTTCCAGCCCCCCAAGAACATGCATGTGCAAGGCAAATTCCTGTCAGGGGACTTGGTGATGTTTCAAATGTAGTTTATGTGGCTCTGAGAACTGCGGGTCTTTGAGAGTAGAGAGGGAGAAGTGAGAACATGATCCCCACATGCCCACCTTGGCCAACAGAAGACGAGGACAACTTATTTTACCACTGGAAAAACTTTTACAACTTTTTTCCAATTAAGCATTTAGATAAAGAGTCAATATGTGAACTGGAAAATAGTGATGCAGTGATTGGCGTAATCAAGGCCCACGTGTGTCCAAACAGTGGTATTTTCAGATGACACGCACTTGTGGATGAGGAGGAGTCTGCCACAACAGCTGGTAGGTAATCAGTCACCCAGGGCTTATCTAGAAAGGTTTCATCAGTCACTCTGCTCTGTTCTTATTCTGCTGCTGGTGAAGCAGGTACATATGAAAACTGACGCACGCACTGTCCTTGGTGCCTCTGTTTAAAGGCATTAAAAATTGATTAAGCAAAGTGAATCTTTTCACTTGCTCTGAAACTCCTACACTTGGGTATCAAAAACAGCACACACCGCGCAGGGCTTTATCTGCATGCTGGCACACAGACAAAGACCTCTCAGTGCTCACCAGCCCAGCTCAGAATGGGCTGGGACCCTCGTCCAGAGGAAACCAAGTTGCTCAGTAGCGTGTTGGTCAGACCACTACTCTGGGCAGAAGTGAACCCTGCCTTCACCTACTCACCTTGATTTAGAAAGTTAATGGCTTTCATACAAGCATACTCCTCGTTGCTGACTTTCAACTGGTTAAACTTGCGATAGAGGTAGATCAGCCGCTCCATCACCTCCATCCCCTCTTCACTGAATCTGAAGGAGAGACAGAAACAAGATGCACAGTGAACACGGAGAACTCTGCTTGGCTTCAATGCAGGTGTTCACTACAGACATTTGACTAGGTGCATGAGACAGATTCCTTGCCCAGCGATTCAGGGACTCTGGGGTGGAAACTGCCTTGGGCATTACCCAGTTGTGCTCTTCATGAGCAACACAGAGATTTGGTTAAACCCACTTGGCAGTTAGAGCAGGTGTTTGAGGGAACCTGAGTTCACACGGGCGTGCACGTGTGTGTCAGTGCTGGTACATGCAGCGGCTACGGCTGCTTTGAGGCAACAGTAAGTACATAAAATTCCTGGCCCATGGCCCCTTTGCCACCCAGTTCCCTGCTTTGCTGCTCCACAGGGTGGGTGCGAGGTTGGACTCAGCCTCCGAGGCAGGTTGAGATGCTTAGCTAGGAGTCCTAGGGAGATGCCAAGGGTTTTTGGATTACGCTAACAGTTACACTGCACTTCGTGACCCACCAGCTGTGCTGGTCCACCTAGGAAGGATGGAGAAGCCCTTCCGACTTCCAGCCACAGGGCGCTTATTGATTACTGCCATCTGCCCATCACACTAGGAAGTCAGCAAGACAGATGCCCAGAGCTTTGAGTTCCCCCTGCCAGAATTCAGATGCTCTCCCAAGGGATTTAGAGATTGCAGCCTGCCCCTGACAGCCACATCCTCCTCCGGGACACTAAACAGATGGACCAAACTCAGAACCATCCCACCAGACGCAGGCCAGGCTGGTGGTGCTGGACAGCCTGGATCTTTACTCTGCATCCAGGGCAATGCACAGCACCCTGCCAGCTTTCACATGACTGCTCCACCCCACCATCCTCCACTCATCGTCCTGGCACCACATCCTCTCCAGGTGCCTCCTTTCCTCTCAGATGCACAGGACATCTCCTCCAACAGCTGTGCCACTCCATCGGCTGCGGCAAGTCCTCACCACTTGGAGGCCTCCTACACAAGGGCTCCCATCCCCAAGAGCTGGATTTTAACCTGGAAACTGGCCAGCAACCCAGAACACTTACACACGTCCCAGTCTGCATGAGTCCCTCTCTAGACAAACGCCCTTGCTCAGAGACTGGCAGCGCTCCCCCTTGCCCTGCCCACATGGACAAACCCCATGAGTGGCAGGGAGCCCAAACACTCCCCAACACCTTCACACTCAAAGCAGACACCAGGCCCAGAGCTAGTTTGTTCAAAGCCTGCATTTCACAAAGGCTTTAGCTGCTTTGCTCCCTATAGGTAACAACCAGACTTGCTTCTGCAAGGCACTTTGCAGTCAGTCCTTCACCAGCTAAGAAGAGCTGGCTCTGGGGCAGAGGTGAGGAAGTAGCTGGGTGACGCACACCACGAGGGATGGCCAAGGAGGGCAGAGGCCAACTCCAGCTCCTACAAGAAGTGCCCCTGGGATGCTCCATACCCCAGAGGCCGGTTGGATCGGAAGGGCTAACGGCATGCCTGAAACCTGCTGCAGGTCGTTTTGGGTCTCACGGCAAGAGTGGAGCCACTATGGCAGCACTGTCAGCCAAAGGGTGAGGTAGGGAACAACCCGCACGTGGCTAACAGGGGCGGTGCTGGTCTGCTTGCTGCCCGTCTGCTCCAGTGCCTTGTTTGTCTCTGTGGGGGAAGGCAGCCTGCAGAGCACAGGGGGGCCCTGGTCGGATGAGGCGCTACTGAATACAGATAAACACAAAGCATAAAGATAATACACCCGTGATGAGTCACAGGGATGAAAGACTGAGCCAGCCCACTGGATCTGAGCATGAAGGCCTAGGCAGAGTGGCTGTTTCTAACTCGATTTGAGAACTCTGCTCTCTTCCTTCCTCCATCACCCAGTCAGCGAACCTCCCCTGGAAGCCCACAAGACCTCGACCCTTTCCACTACTGCAGACATTTGTGCACGAGAGCTTGGGGACTAGCGTCATCATCTGCACCAGGCCTCGAGAGATTGTCGCTGGTCACAAGGAGCATTTGCTTCCCATCAACAGGAAATGAAAATGACTGCTGAGCTTGCCCCTCTGGACGCAGCGGTCCCCCCGTCTACACGGGGTTCCCCCCCGCGACGTGTCCTCCCCATGCCAGGCTGGAACAATACCCGAGGGGCAAACGGCCATGCCTTCCTGAGCAGCGCTGCAGATGTGAGCTCTCAACTAGCAGGTGAGCAGATTACAGGCAAACGTGGGAGTCTGATGCCTAACAGGAGGAAGGGAACATCCAAGCAGTCTGAGAGGCTGGAGGAGATGGACTCTTTCCAAGGGAACAAACCACGTAAGGGATGGGCAGCCTGCTTGCAACGAGCTGCAGACGTCTCTCCTGCCCAGCAGCCCCACTCCCGGGGGGATGCGTTACAGCGGGTCCGGCAATGGCAGTCTCTTCAGAACTCGAGGAGCAGCAGGGAGGACTGGCTCACCCCAGACAGCCCAAACACCTGGTGTCAGTGCCAACCGGGCTCCCGAGCGAGGGGCAGCCGCGTCCTCTTTGTGCACGGGGCCAGCAGCAGCAATCCCCGAGGGTGGTTCAAAGCCCAGGGCTCAGACACAGCACAGAGCAGAAATCTCCAGGAGCGAGGCAGAAAGTTCAGGCAAACTTCCGCCGCATGTTCTGGCAAGGTGCAGCGCTGGGAGTAACAGTACGGCAGAGAGCCTCCTCTGAAGAGAACAGAAATAGAGCCCTTCTCCATGAATAATGCCTTATTTTGGCACGTATATTTGTTTACTTCAAAGTTATTTGTAAAATGCATGGTGGAGTTTGGCCTCCATGAAGAGAAAACAAGCGGTCTGAACTTTAGGTCAGTTCTTCAGGAAAGTAATATTGTAAGTGATGAAAGCCTTGTCGGCGAATCTAAAGCTGTACAAGTTTTCTTGTGCTTGAGCTGACATTAAAAATCCTGCAGGTGCAAGATTGCAAAGCTCAAGGAGCTAATGAGCACAGACACCACTCAGTCTGCTGCGGGGTTTAATTGTTTTTTGAACATGCACATTTCTACCAACGACTCTCCACGTCCATAAATCCAGGAGAGCGTTCACTCTCATCCCTCCAGCTGAACTGCCTTCGTTTTCTGTGTCATACATTCCTCCTCCTTGCAAACAAAGCTGTTCTGTGTTTTTACAGCCTTCTTTCTTCTGGAGCACTGACTCCTCCACACACGGCCTCATAACCGTTACCCCAGGCTCGTCCCTGGCTACATAGTAGCAGGGATAACAGAAAGGAAAGGAAAGAGGGGGGAAATCAGGAATCCATGCATTGCATTTGCATTGCGACTGCGCCGCACAGAAAAACCGAGAGGTTTGGGCTAGAAAAGTAACCAAACAACCACGGAGGCAGCAGCTTGAATTGCACAACGTGCGGGAGCTGACCCTATTTATTTATCCATCGTTACCTAAAAAACAGAAAGACCTGATAAACCTCCGAGCCAGCACGCTGGGTCTAAGTTGGCCAAGGGAGAGGATGCACCTCCACTTACCAACAGCTTTTTCTGGATGCTGGAGAAGTGGTCAAGGTGTGAGGCTCTACCCTGAGGGGTCACGGCAGCCTCAGCACCCCTCTTTGCTATGCCAGGTAATGGCAGGGAGTTCCCTAGGTTCACAGGTGTGCAAGAGCAAAGGACACGGATCTGTGCGTTTCAGCAAGGGAAAGCTCGCTCAAAGCACAGAGCCAGGACTCCCTCCCCAGAGACTCCCTGAACGCAGCTGTGTCAGGTAGGAGGGCAGCGCGGCAGAGGAGGGGACCATTGGGAAGGCCAAGTTAACAAGAAGCACAGCCAGCACCGGTATAGCACGTGCTCATTAGGCCAGCGCCAATCTGGCCAGGGGCCTGCGCTGCAATCAAGCTTTAAATCAAACTTGTAAGGTCCAGGGATCTGATAAGAGGTTGATTAAGAGAAAGAGATGCCATAAATTTGACCTGCTCTTACAGACGGAAAGAAAATGAAAAGACAGGGCATAATTTAGGGTGAGGGGAGCCGTTCCTAATGAGCCTGTCTCCCCTTCTCCCTGCGGCTGGGCCAGGGGAGGAGGCAGGAGAGACGTGCCGAGCACCCGGGAGAGATGAGGGGTGACCGCTCCTGCAATGCGGCTGCTCCGCGGCACTGTTGTTACCCTGCTGCACACAGGGACGTGAGACAGAAATACAATGCCCCCGAGACACTCGCATGGCTGGAACGGCACACGCCGCTCCCTGCACTGCGCCCCATGCTCCTGCTCCTTCCTCCTCCCGAGCAGCCTTTTACATCTACTTTCCCACTCTTTGCTAATGTCAATTAATGACACTCGAGATGGTGAGTCAGAGGCAGAGGTGACAGGGAACCTGCCACTGCTGAACCGTCTCTTTTAACTCGTTGTCTACATGCTCACGGGCGCTCGCTGAAGCATGTGTGAAGCAGGCAAGCTGGAAACCACCAGTGTCTGAAGGGTTAAGCTTCTTCCTTTACTATTTTCTTCCTCTGACTCTGCCATTTGACATACGCACACAACCACACATGCACACACGTCAACTTTTGGGGCCTTGATGGAGAGCGTGAGCACACTGAAGAGCCAGCCTGGGAGCAAGTGCTATTGTAGTTGGCTTTGACATGCAATTCTCTTTGGAGAAGCTGCATTTGCCACGTGCTAAAGCAAAAGATAAAGCAATGCAGGGGTCAGAGGACTTGAGTGACCTGGGGGCCAGTTCTTTACTCTGTCCCCTCCTTCCTGTGTGACCCTGTGCACGTCACTTAGCTTCCCCGTGCCTCAGTTTCCCACATGTAAAAGGGTGACGACAGTCATGCTTCCCTACCTCACAGACTATGGTGAAAATATATCCATTAAAACAACTGTCAGTGCTCACATACATATCTTTGCTTACATATACAATGATACCGTAGATGCATCACTCCATAATACTCATGGCACAGCTCCTGGGTCCAGCAAGGGCAGAGCCAAAGCAGGTCGAAGAGCAGAAAGGAAGGGAAGATGGGCAGCCATGCAAGCAAACCCTGCAAACATCCTCTCCCGAGACTGTTGGTCTATCTACTATCCAAACACGGGCCTGTCTGGCACTGGCCAAGGAAAGAAAGAAACTGCCAGGGGTGATGAATTAAAGGCAGGTCACTTGGAGCATCAGATAGCCGGGTTTCCTCCACAGTGTCAGCTAAGTTGCAACATCATTAAATTTATGTCAGCGAAAACAGTGAAACAGCAATTAATAATGCAACACTGTGGCAATAAGGTCACAGCTTTGTGATTCTGCTGGCACTGGATAGCTGTGTGGACATGCTTGCCATTTTGTATCTCATGGTTATTTAGGTAGGATATTCTTTGATCCTGGGCTATTATTCCTCACCTAAAGGGGCTTTGCTCTTCATCACAGGGTGGAGAAAGGGTTTCTAGGGGGACGAGTGCCTTTGGTGCTAGGCTTTCACTACCAGCATGATCTCAGGAGGCTGAGAAATCTCTGTTGTCCAAGAGGGATCTTTAATCTAGCGATCAGCAAGCAGCCGCATGGTAAGACTAGAGAAACTGCAGGGCCGATAGCTGTGCACAATCCAGTTTCCCCCGCATATAAAGCAAGGATAACAAATGTCAGCCTCTTCTGGACAGTGCTCCGAGGTCTATGCCTGGAAAACCATAGAGAAGAGTAACGAAGAATTACTATTTTGGTGTCATGTCCCTTTGGGCTCCAGATGCAGGGACAGCCATGGTGAGCCTAATCTGTACTCCTACTCTCACTTGCTAAGTAGCTCCTGCACCTATGCCAGGGCATCGGCTGTTGTTATGGGCTAACAAATCCGGACACAGATTTTACCCCTCAAATGCACCACAGCATAATGACAAACCAGAGGTGAGAATTAGCAAAAACAATGGTTTTCAATAGGCCCGCGAGATGCTCCAGTGCAGAAAACTTGGAGAAAAGTGAGTTGAAGGTATGGGAAATCTGCCACGTTCCCCCAGGACTGCAGAAGGCAAACACTGGACAACCAGATACAGGCATACCTCGGAGATATTGCGGGTTTGGTTCCAGACCACTGCAATAAAGCGAATATCGCAATAAAGCAAGTCGCACAAATTTTTTGGTTTCCCAGTGCATATAAAAGTTATGTTTACACTATACTGTAGTCTATTAAGTGTGCAATAGCATTATGTCTAAAAAAACAATGTACATACCTTAATTAAAAAAATACTTTATTGCTAAAAAATGCTAACCATCATCTGAGCCTTCAGCGAGTCGTAATCTTTTTGCTGGTGGAGGGTCTTGCCTCGATGTTGATGGCTGCTGACTGATCAGGGTGGTGGTTGCTGAAGGTTGGGGTGGCTGTGGTAATTTCTTAAAATAAGACAACAATGAAGGTTGCCACAAACCTTCAATTTGTAAAGAACGCAATATTTGCAAAGCGCAATAAAGCGAAGCGCAATAAAACGAGGTATGCCTGTATAGGCAAACCAGCCCTTTCCACAGCAAACTCAAACTGCAAAGACTCAAAGGATCTCTAAGTCTGATAAATGTCACAGGCCCTGTCCCTTTTCCATCGACAATTTCAAAAGAATATTTAACATTGAAAATAACTGAAGAATTCATTCACACAGTCTGAACATGAATGTAAGAAAATCGGTTCAAAAACTCCAAAGACAACTTTGGCCGGGCAGAGCAAAAGGGATAGGTTTTAAAGTTTAAAAAATAAAAACAGGAGGGCAGAGAGAAATATGAAACCTAAATTAAACAAACTATATATACATATATGAGTTCTGTATATTTGTTAAAAATTATTTATGTATGTGTGCAGGTATAGGTGTACACACACACGCGCGCACACAATGTTTAGATGCAACCTGGGACAGAAGCATGCTGCAGGACTTACAAAAGTCATCAGAAAGGTGGTAAACCCCCCCCCCCCCAAAACCTATACCT